AAGAAGAAGAGAAAGAAGAGGAGGAGGAAGGAGAGAGCTCTGTTGGGGGCATTGCCCAGCTGAGCACTTAGGTGTGAGGTCCTAAAAAATAATTTATAAAATGGGAAGACTGTGCATGTTTTCCAGGGTGAGAACAGAACTACAAAGAGTTCCCCAAAGCTCAGTACTGCAAGAGTTTCTGTCAAGCAGAGACCTGGACTGGTGTCCTCTGGGATACAGAAGCTTCTAGTTGGCTGGTGGGTGCCCCATCATTTAGTACAGAGCCTGGCACACAAGTGGGTTCATGCCTTTTTCATTGAAATTAGATTAACTCCAGAAATGGTAGGTGTTGGGAGTTTGGTTTTGTTTTTCATTAAAGAGATGGCCAATCCGGCAAGATTACTGTGGATGACTATGGAGCCAGAACTGGCAAGTCACCGGGCATGATGCGGCAACTCAACATCAATGGGGCTCTGTACGTGGGTAAGTGATCTTTGGCCAACTCTCAGTGTGGCCAGGGATTTTTCTTGTTAGTTTTCTGTTTGCTGTGCCAGGGCTGTGCACTTCACTGGGTCAAATACCTGGAAATCAGGAAGCTGTCCAGATAGTCCATTCTTGCATTTTTTGAACTTCTGACTCCTGCCCGAGGAGGCAGGAAGGGACTCATTCGCATGCTTTTGTGCTGTGAATCTAGGCACCAGGAACACCACGCTTTTCTTGTTTATAGAACAGGAACTTGCTTAATATAGCCCCACAAATTCTCCCTGAGGAAGGTGGGTCTCTTTCTGGCTTCTCTCAGAATAGAACGAATATGTCTATAAATGGCTTGTAATCCACTAAATAGACACATAAAAATAAAACAATAACCTTATATGTTTTCTGGGGGAAAAAAATTGAAAGCAGCCAACCTCTATGTATTTCTTTTGGTTTATGATATCCCCTCTAATGACACACTACATTTTGTTGTTATATATTTCAAAACTTAGTGGAAACTATTTGGTTTTAAGGTAATCCTTTGGGCCATAAATCACACATGAGGTGGAGATTTATAGCCTTTTCCTCTATTTCCAGTTAACTTAAGTTGTCCGGTTCCTTCAAGGATGACTGTAAATGAATGTGAAGCACTGAGCAGCTTGTCCTATCAGCCAGGGGACACGCTGTTCAGAGGACACTGGAGGGCATGCGGAGAAGCACCCCTGTCCAGCACCTGCTCTTTGGCTCACTGTGTTTGCTTTCTGGCAGGTGGGATGAAGGAAATCGCTCTGCACACTAACAGGCAGTACATAGCAGGCCTCGTGGGCTGCATCTCCCACTTCACCCTGTCCACCGATTACCATATTTCCCTCGTGGAAGATGCTGTGGATGGAAAAAACATCAACACTTGCGGAGCCAAGTAACACCAGCCGGCCTTGCCCAAGGGACACAGCCTCTACACTGAGCATCCCAGGGGCCTCAAGACCCTGCTTGATGCCACACACAGAGGCCTGGGGACCAGGTGTGCTTCCTCTCATCAAGGAGAAAGTATGCCCTGATGGAAACTGAGCACCTAGACAAGAGTCCCTGGGTGGCCTTTCCTGCCGGCACTGTGGACTGAACACAATGGGGGTACTCTGTGCAGGAAGCATTGGACTTTCGGACTTTGCCCATTGGATGTGTGGAGTCCTTAGAGGTTCAACGTCGTCAGTGCAAATTTCAGAG